ATATCATTGCCTACCTAGAGGCAGCTTAATCAAATATGCATGCAATGGCGTTTCATTTTGTTTACCACCAGCACCGCTGCTTCAGTAATAAGTGTCAAAGGTTTTGCTTATCCATGGCGCAGGTTGCCAACGTGCCATCGTGCATCATGCCACCGTGGCACTTGCCTTGCGGCAGCAACCACTTCAAATGTCAGTTAATAAATTGCAAAACGTTTTTCTGCGAATCGACAAACCGACAGCCCAACAGCCCAGCCACCAAACTGCACTTAATGTCAGTGACACACAGACAAACAACACAGCTGAGGCGCTGCTGCCGAGCAGCAGTAGTAGGGCGCAGGAGTCCTCGGCAGACAATGAAGTTGCCGCTGTTGACATGAAGCGTGACGAGAACAAGGACCCTGCGACCCTACAACTCGATGCCGTGTGCCGCAACAGACATTTACAAATAAACAGCGCTAAATTATAGGTGCCTCGTGGGTGAATGCCAGGCGCTGCAACCAGCTCACAGCTCAGAGCGCCCAGCTGCTGTTGCTGCTCCTTCCACTTGTAAATAATATGGCAGGCTACACCTGTAGACGACGTCGTCGCCATCGTCTAACTTTTAACTACAACAACAACAACAACAGTTGCTCGCATACCAATTACAGCAGCAACAAGCCCGACTAAATAAAAACCCTAATGTGTAACAACGAAACTGGTATGATCTATCATTGAGAGATTAAAACGAATTTGCTACTCATCTGACTGTGCATATAAATATCTGTATGTATATTTATACATATATACAAAGTAGATGAGGTATTAATATGCTGAACAAATAAATTATATATTGTATTTATTATTTGAACTTAGTTTTATCCATTAAGATGCATTTTTTTCAAATATTTAACTTTTGTATTGAGAAAATAAGTTAGGCTACATTTAAGAGCGGCAGTTCGCTCAATAAATTTATATTTATACATCGATTGCGGTCATTGGTTCACTTTTTGCTCTATACTTCACTTGCTTCACTCGCTCTGACAGCGCGGCGGTTTGACCGTGCAAACCCGGCGTTCGTAACTCAAACTTATTACTTATTCAGTATCGTTTATAAACTACAGCTGTGCGTCATCTACAGCTTTGTATAGTATAAAGTAAACAGTCAAAGTCGCTTGAGCATTCCATTCGAATAATCAAGGGCACATATATTTTTTAAATCGATCAAAGCTAGATCAACATACAGTTTATTTAAAATGAAAACATATATAAAATATTTATCTACTATCTATTAGTGTGAAGTAAAGTATAAATTAACAATTCCAAAGGCCTTAAAAAAATACATTTTTCACTCTTTAAAAAGAATTTTGAAACAATTTTTAAGTAGAATTTGTCAACATTTTCATATTTTTTGGCATATTAAAAACAGAAAAGTTAAGAACTTGAGAAACATAAAAAGCAGAGTTCAATGTTCAAGGAGCTCACCCGATAAATGAAAATGGCTTCGATCATAAAAAGCAGCTTAACTACTTAACAAAACTCGTTTAGTTTAGTTTCGCATATACATATACATAAACATATAAATATCAAATACATTTCTTGTTAGCTGGTTAGGCTTAGGCGCCGGCTTAAGCTTTAGCTTAAATAGTCTCCAGATAAGAAATGCATTTGCTTCTACATATTGACATTCTGCTAAACTCGTATTGAATCGAATCACATTTTGTGTAAAAAAATATATATATAACCATAAAAAAACTTCAGTAACTATAAAATGTAGCTTAATTTGTCCATGGGTCCATGTGCAGTCCAGCTTAGCTTGTCCTTATCCAACTAAGGTAACTACTACTAATCTCAAACTGTACCAGAAGACTGTTTCGTACAACCCATTAATATGTTTAGCTTGTTGTGTTGCAAAATACATGACAAAGGCAATGTTGCTGCCAAGCAGCCTAAGCAAAGTTCCCGTTGCAAAATACACACAAAGTTCAAGTTGACGACGCTGAATTGCACTTTGGTAAGAAGCGCAGGTAAAGTTGTACAGGTGCAACTTCAGCTGCAGTTAGTGCCTCACACAGCTCGCAACACAGTTCACAGCTCACAGTTCACAGTTCACAGTTTGTAGCTATTAGGCTGACATTGTTGCAATTTTTATTGATGATGCCGACTGCCAACTGGCTACCAAGGCCAATGGCAATCTCTCTCTCTCTATATATATATATAGAATTACAGTTAAGGCATTTCGATCTTGGCATAAACTTTTTCAATTAAATTTATGCTGCAATCAATGGCAAATGCTGTAGTTGTAAATACTTTTAAGATGCGTTGACAATTAATTGCATTCATTTGCCATCACATAATCAGGGGGCGTGCCATTGGTGGGAGGTGGGCGTGGCACGCAACTAAAACGTGCTCAAACTTGTGTTCGCCAAGTTTTCTTTGCCTGTCACGTTGTTGCTGCCCGACGCGAAAACTTTTTCTTAAAAACTTGTTTCTCTTTATGCTTGGCTTCGAAATTATCTCTTTGTATTTGGTTTCTTGGTTTTTGAATGCAGCCTCCCGCACTTAGGCCAGGTCAGTTATCCCCACACCGACAGCAGACTACTATAAATTTAAACTTTACCGACAAGGTGGTATTCTATTTATATATATATATTTATATATATGTATTTATACCATGAACTCATTGAAGTAAGCTTGTCGGGTATATTGTTTCTGTGGAAATGGTTGTAGCGGGCAAAACGAGCCTCGACAGACATATTAGAGTACAATATATTATTGATCTAGCAGATCCATCGGCCAGTCTGTCTGTCTGTCTGTCTTACATTGATCGGGCATCAAATAGAATGAAAAGAGGTAATTTAGTTTAGCTGAGCAAGCGTTCTACAAGCAACAGAAAGTGCTCTTATTTAACACTCAATGAGCGTGCATAGAAGTCTAACGTAGAGAAAGACTCAAGAACTGAGTTCGACTTCGAAAGCGAGCCGCTTCCCCTACATATAGACGAACTTGCTAAGGCGTCTCTTCAGTCGCCTACCCGACTTCTTGCTGATCGTCGTGGGGTGCGGCGCTACTTTTTTACTAGTGTGTGAGGTCAGTACTTATTTTAAACAGAATTGCCATAATTTTTATATTATTATATTAATAATAATTATAGTAATATTTATAGTAAAAATATATTCATTGGTATGTTAATGATCATTGAGCCTATATTTATTAAGTAAAGGGGTATTAATAAACAATAAAAAAATAAAAAAATTTAATTAATAAATAAACACATTTATATATTTATTTATTAATAAATAAATATTATTTACATTATAATAAATATCACTTACTTATTATTCATTAGGATTACCCTTGCAACCTCGTCAATGATAATAATGTGAATAATTGCGTTAAGGAAAGTAAAAGAAAATATCAAATTTCGAACTTTTTTCATTTATGTCTATTTAATAATAATTACTAGAAGTGTAAAGAACTTATTTAATCATCATCAATTGTAATTTTTTTCATATATATCCACAGCTTAAGCACTTTTACCGCGTCCCATGCCAAGTTACAGCTAATCAGTCAAGTAAGCTAAAGGTATCTTTTAGTTAGGCATTCCCAACTAGTTCACGCCTTTTTTTGTTTTTTTTATTATTTTTGCTTTTGTTGCAAAGTAAAATACAACACCTAGTCACAGTCTTAGTGCCAAACAATGAACTTCCTACAAGGCGAAACATGGTTAAAGGAAAGTTATGTTGATAGAGTTAAAATGGGATTTATGGTCATTTATGCAAATAGATTTGATGGCAAATATATTGCCTTTAGAGACACCTAATGTTAATGAAAACTAAAATTAGATATTCATAGAATTAACGTTGCCTTTTATAATACAAAAAGTTGAATTTGTGCATCATTAGCCCTCTCAATGGAGCCATTGTAGCTCAGCTTGGCTGTAAGTCTTTCAGTTAATGTAGCATAAGCTGTGCTGTCAATTTTCTTTCGATCGTATTTGATTGTAAGTTATTTAATATTGAACTAGCCAACAATCTTTCTAGACTTGCGTGCTTGGGATTGAGCTAGCTCAGGGATCACTGCAGCAGCAGCTTCAACTATTTTGTTTGGCCGCCCTTCAGACATTGCGACATTGCATGTCACGATGCTACTGGCAGTTGGCATTGCATGCGTCTGACTGGCTAAAAGTCTCTGATTTAATGGCGTGGAAAATTAGAAAACGTTTGCCTTGGCCTGGCCTGGCCTGGCCTGGCCCTCGCTTGGCCTGGGCGTTATCGTCTGGCAGCTGTCAAACCGAATGGCCTCGATTTTCTGGGCATTGGGACAATTGCAGCTATGTTGAACAAGTGCCAAATTGCTAGCTGAGGTCTGAGGGCTGGGGACTGTGGGCTGGAGGCAACACCTGCTCAGGTGCTAGAAAATTGCATCTAATGACTTCATAAATTAAAGACATCATATGGAACACACACACAGGCACACGTACAGGCACTAATACATACAAAAGAAGCCGTCGTAACTTTATTCAAATGATGTTGGCGGCTTTTTAGCTGCTTCCGTGTGCATTTTTAATGAAGTTTGGCTCTGCGGTTTTTTGTTCCTATACGACCATAGACCATAGCCCATAGCTGTGCACACATCTTTAGCGGTCGGCATTTGCCAAAAGGCTCAACTTTCGCAGCTCGCAACGCTTTACAAAAGTCTTTGCAGCTGCGTCTCACTAATAAATGTGTCTGCCGGCAAAGTCTACAAAGTGCTTTTAATTAGTCGTGTTAGCTTACTGCCAAAAGACTATGCGAAAAGAAAAAAATTAAACTAAAGTTAAAAACAAAAACTCTTCCGCTTCCTCCGCTCATTGCTTAACAAGTCGAGTGTTAATTCCTCTTCCTTTAAAAAAGCATTCATTAACTCTCAAAGAATTATCATACTATAATAGTCAAATGGAGAATTTCTTGTATCTACTTAATTTATTATATTATTCTCAATTATATTTAACCTTTTAACATGGAACTTAATATTTACTGCTCCTACTGGAGTAAGCGTGTTCATTGATTACTTGATTACTTGATTACTTGATTAGTTGACTTGAACTTCGAATGGTGTAAATGCTGCTGGAGTATGCTTTCGCACGAGAACTTCATATTTACTGAGCTGCCTCATAGGCGAATTCTCGTAGCGAATGAAGCAAACCTTCTGCGCCAGATACAGAGTGCCAATGAAAATGCCTCCATCAGTTCTGCCCCGACAGACGTAAACGCGCTCGTTTGCAGCACTTGTGCCCACTGATACAGCATTTCTCTCCCGGAATCCATCGAAGCTGCGTACCCAGTCATAGCTGACCGTCTCATTAGACAGCAACAGCTCGTAGGAGGTGACCTGATTAGCGATTGAATCCGTGTTATAGGTAGCATATCCAGTTTCGGCCCTCACACGCGCCGGCAGAATCGAGCTCGAGTAAAGAACACGTCCAACGAAGTTCTCATAGCCGTACGAATCATAACCGCCAAGAACAGCATTTTCAGGAAAAGCCTTCGACTTGTCTGAAAGGAGCCAGCTGTCCGTATTGTCGTAGACTCCGCACTGAACTGCGCCCAGTAGCTGGGCAACAATGAGCACACAAGCGACGAGTTTTGTTGAAGAATACATAGTTAATACTGTTCGATAGCTAATCAAAGACTGTTGTGTAGATTGTGCAAAGACATGGCTTTTATACACTGCTGATTAGTATTGTAGGGAATCACTAGCCGATAAGTGTGTTGGTATCATAAATCTATTACTTGTGGGAGACCCTTTCAGTTTTTGATAAGATATGCCAAATTTCAGTGCTTAAATTCGTCATAACTAAATGATTGGATTAGAATGCTGCACGTTTAGCGAAATTGATAAGACAATACTTATTAATAGTACTTATTTGATACGGTATGAACGTTGTTACGAGCCAAACTAACGATACTTTCTAAGCCGCACAGAAGAAGAAAATTAATTACGGTGTTGTTTATATATTTTTCGAGCAACATATATATTCACAATGATTGCCATACATCAAATGACTGTATATTCATAAATGCAACACCATAAATTGGGAATCTGTTCCTTTTACTGTCTTCAAGCTTTATAATTAAGACTAGATGAGATCAAAAAAGTGCATATTGCCTCAGTATTGCTTATCAAGAATCTGTTCGTTGTTATGAACGGAGTCTCTGACTTTCATATTTTATGTTTTTAGTCTTCTTTTATATAAATGTGCACAAAGCTAATAAATGCTGCAAAACAGAAAGATAATTAATATGATATTAATTTTTACTTTAAAGTAGAACTACACTGACTTAGAACGCGCATGGCTTAAAGATATTTTAGCCCTTGCCAGAGGGCACTGTGCGCGTAGCTAACCACATGTGTAAAATGTGTCATAAACATTTGTTTCGTGTGCTGCGGTTAATGCCGAAAATGGCTCAAAAACACACAGAAAACAAAAGCCAACTGCCAGCAGTAGAGATGAACAGGTGTGCGAGTAGAAACCACTGTAACCGGGCAACTGTCAAGCATAAGTCAAAACCATAAGTCGAACCACAACACTGCGCTCAAGCTGCTTGCATATATTTCCCCTGCTCCTTCTCATGCTCTGTATCTCTATGTTGGCTCTTGTGGCGTATAAGCTACATGCTGATGCCACAAAGACTCTAAGCTACAATTTGGAGCCACCTTAAAGATTTCAGACAGTTTTTTGTTGGTTACCTCAGTTTCACTGGCTTCTAGATTATTTTAAGCTATGAAAAAAAGGGTTCAACCAGGAGTACACAGCTAACAGATACCCTAGAACTCTGCTGATATTTCTCTAGCGACATGAATTATATTCTTTGAAATGCTTCTCAATCTCCAATGATTTTCAGCAAACATAAATCATAACTTACAAGAGACAAGACATTTACTATCATTAAGGATATATATTTAACTTCAGCATATCTGAAATGAAATTGATTTCTTTATTAAGGTAGCCTTTCCAGTAAGCAAATGTATGTGTATGTATGAGGGAATTTATTTTAATTAGCGAACTTTACTTAAAGACCACAAAAGCAAAAGACTGCAAGTTCCTGACATGAATACACAGACAATGCATCTTTGAATATTCTTCTATGGGCAGTAATAATTTATAAATTAATAACATAATATATATTTAGCGATGACTAATTTAACATAATGTCGAAAAACAGTCGCCTCATAAAGTAGTAAGTGCCATTAATTTATCGCTTAGCAACGTTTAAAATCCATCCCACAAACGTTATTAATAGATTCGATTCTTATCAATTCCGTGAAACTTGCAGCATTCTAATCCAACGATATAGTTATGACGAATTTAAGCACAAAAATTGGTTTATCTTATCAATAGTTCAAAGGGGTTACCACGAGTTACACAAAGATTCATGATACCAACACACTTATCGGCTAGTGATTCCCTACAATAATCAGCAGTGTATAAAAGCCATCTCTTTGCACAATCTACACAACAGTCTTTGATTAGCTATCGAACAGTATTAACTATGTATTCTTCAACGAAACTCGTCGCTTGTGTGCTCATTGTTGCCCAGCTACTGGGCGCAATTCAGTGCGGAGTCTACGACAATACGGACAGCTGGCTCCTTTCAGACAAGTCGAAGGCTTTTCCAGAAAATGCTGTTCTTGGCGGTTATGATTCGTACGGCTATGAGAACTTCGTTGGACGTGTTCTTTACTCGAGCTCGATTCTGCCGGCGCGTGTGAGGGCCGAAACTGGATATGCAACCTATAACACGGATTCAATCGCTAATCAGGTCACCTCCTACGAGCTGTTGCTGTCCAATGAGACGGTCAGCTATGACTGGGTACGCAGCTTCGATGGATTCCGGGAGAGAAATGCTGTATCAGTGGGCACAAGTGCTGCAAACGAGCGCGTTTACGTCTGTCGGGGCAGAACTGATGGAGGCATTTTCATTGGCACTCTGTATCTGGCGCAGAAGGTTTGCTTCATTCGCTACGAGAATTTGCCTATGAGACAACTCAGTAAATATGAGGTTCTCGTGCGCAAGCATACTCCAGCAGCATTTACACCATTCGAAGTTCTAGTCAACGAATTAAATAATACACAATAAAATTTGAAATGAACATGCTTATTACTTAGAAGCAGTAAATATTAAGTTTCATTGGTATAATATAAAAGAATTGCGCTTAGTAAATATTTTTTTAAAAGTAAATTAAAAAAAATTAAATAAATATAGCGAGAACTTATGCGATTGAGAACTTATAAACTACTCTTTACAACTTATGAGAATCCCAACTCTAAATGCAGCATATAGAGACTTCAGCTTATGTCTTAGATCCAAGTAAGCTCAAGCTAGAAAAAGGCTACAAGTTAAAAAATATTCATCATTTTCAGATGGTAGTATAAGCTTTAAGTAACAGACTGAAATGTTTTCGAAGATCCTACAATACATATATATTTCGTCATTAACTGTCTTGTTTCATTTGAAAATCCAACTCGTTTGACTGGGCTCAGTTCAAACTTAAAAAAATATACCAAAAGCCTTTATATACAGGATTATTATTTTTTCTCTCAGGTCAGTTACTTGAATGTCATGAAATTGTTAGATAAACACTTCACAGTCTTAGACATTTTGACAGCTTTAACAACTTTTATGAGCACACTCTATTGTGAGTTATGTTCACAAATTTGAGACAGTTTGAATTGCCAAATCCAAATCGCATGTTAATTACATTTTGATCTCCAGCGAGACCAAATAATTCATACATAATTATAAAAAAAAAAGCAAAAGTTCGCAAGGGTTAATACCGAAAAAATTTAACAAAGCTACGCATCGTCAGGGTCGTTGCAGCTACTGTGCTCTCATCTTGAATTACACATTAATATTGGCTTGTCAAAACTGTTAGCCATAAGAAACTAGAACCAGAACCAGAACCAGATCCAGATCCATTTGCAGCAACAAGCTGCCCTCTCTTACGTGCGCTAATGTTACTCGCCACAGAAACCACATGCAATATACTCGCTGCCAAAGGGCAGACAGCAGGGCACAGTGAAATGCAACACCGCCTGGCAATCAACTGGTGTTTCAGTTTCCATTAAGCCAGCGCCACACTTAACTCTCCCGCTGCTAATACACACACGAACGCACCTGCCAACGTCTCGAGTTTAGGGCCAGCCACAGCCGTTGAGAAAACCCCAATGGACTGACGGGCTAACTCCACAGGATTTGCCGCCAAAGCGCAAAACAAAAATATCCCAAAACAAATGGAAAATATTTGCGAGAGCAGAGAGCAATGCTCACTGGAAGACGACAGCTGGAAGGCAGGGAATATGAGCAAATGTAAACACCCCTCGCAGCTGTGACGTCATTTGGGAAATTTTGTTTTTACCCCTGTTAAGGAGAGATGGCTGTGCCCTCTACCACACTCACACATACACATACACCTTGACTTAATTGCCATCTGACATTTATTGCTGCCCAGCGTGTCGTTCGGACAGTGCAGCCCTCGGCACAGACAGTCAATGTTCGCGCATTTATCACAGTCTGACAAAATGATGAGTTGATAGTCCAGACATTGATATGAAGCAGCCAAGAAGAATCTGCCCTGTTAACTGCGCTAGTCAATCGCAGTGAAAGCAGAACAAATTTTCATGTACAAAGCTCGTTCTAAAGGTCAAGCAGATGAATAGTAAATGACTGAGAGCCATTCTCGATATTATATAGTAATCAAAATAATTGAACCTTATAAATGGAATTAAATGTTGAAAAGATCTCGTACGAATATATCTTTTGAAGCATTTGGCCACATAAAAACAGAACAATAACGATAACTTAGAATATAAATGGCATTAAGCCAAGCTCTAAATTATATTTAATTTATTTAAAACCAAACTTAGTAAACGCTTTAGCCACTGACATAAGTAAACTAAGCTTGAGAACTTGTTCGTTACTAAGTTTTATATTAATTTCTTCACGAGTCGCTTTAAATTGAATTGTTCCTCATTTTAAATTAGCTTCAGCTCTTTGAATTAGGAAATACCGTATCAAGTGAAATGAAATAAGTCCATATAAACTGAATTGGTCGGTGTTTAGTACACTTAAGGTGTTGGAACTCTCTATTACAGATAATTTAAAAGCCATTCGAATATTTCAAATATATAATGACCGACGATTGGCAATAGAAGAAGAAATGGAAAACCGTGTCGCTAAAATCAACCAAGAAATCGAATTGAGTCATGTAGACAAATGCGTGAACTTTTATTTGAAACAAAAGCAAGCACTCGAAGCAGCATATACCGAGGAAAACTCAGTGAAGCAACAGATTTTAAGATAAAATCGTGCACCTTGTCCTTTTGGAAGTAACGACGGCAACGACCGCAGCGAGAATGACATACAAGCAAAAATTCAGGGGTTTATTAAATCTAACTTTGGGCACTACCAAAACAACATTGAGTACAATAATGTATTGAGAGCCCTAATCAGGGCTGGGCAATCGGGAAAGTCATTTTCAGTGAATGAAAACGTCATTGAGAACTTTCAACAATATAATAACCAACGACTAATATTGGAGGAAAAGATTAAGCAACGTGTCACTGAAATCAATAACGAAATCGAATTGAATCATGTAGGAGGCGAATGCAAGGAG